TGTCCAGTACTCCCTGGTTTTCAATGGTTCTCTAACTGATATCAATCCGTGATCAACCCGTAAAACATAACTAATCCTTACAAACCAAACTACATAAATTAAACGTTTAAATGATATTCCTCTCTCTCTCTCTCTCTCTCTGCAATAGCTTACTTTAGTTATCATGAGGTTTGTAGTGGAACTATATTTCTAGTTACTTTTCTGTACTACTCTAATTGTTATATAGGGTGAATATTGAAATCGTATCGTAAACTAAATGATATTTCGTACACGTATTATTGTTTATTATTTATAGTTTGTTAAAGTTTTATTTTTCTCGTATTTTTCATCAAACGTCGTAGAACTTTTATATATAAATGAAAAAGAACAGCTATAACCATAAGATTCAGAGAAAATGCCAGTCCAGATATTAAGAAGACAGAAGGGAGCTCGAGGAAAGAATATTCTTTTCGGTAAATTAATCATCTGGTTCTACAATTACACATATATACATACATAGTATTCCAGAATAGTCTTCATTACCAGCATATATATTCTCTTAAAGAAAAATATTGATTTGTTAAGATCAATGAAATCACAGTTCAAGAAAGATGCATAAGCTATAGTAGGCATAAAAGTGTAATACTAAATTAAATATTAGATGCAATTTAGAAAATGCATGCAATAGTTAAAAATAGTTAAAACATTGATGGCCAGTGTAGGGAAAGTGCCTGAAAGAACCTCTTATGAAAACTTAAATTAAGCCTCTTAGTGTAAACTCCGATGGTTTAAGCATTACATAACAAACGAACTCGTAAAGTAAAATCATAAGCACGGAACTTTGAAATCGTGGAGTTACTTTTGATGTGATTATGGGCAATCAAGTCTGTAACAGAGATTATACTGCGTTAGTGGTTTCTTTCTACTGTTACTTCAACGCAACAGGGTAATAATGATCAGTCGATGGGCTATCCCTACACTGAGAACATCTTTTTCTACACTCATAAGGCCAACTCGCTAGAATCAATAGCTACTGCATAAGCAACAGATTACTAGTTTAAGATAGAGAAACTGATTTTTTCTGGTTTGCTAGTAAATATAATGATCGTCTGATTTGATCTTTAATCAAAGTTAGGGTCAAATGATCTTTGAAACTTTGATCGGTTGGTTATCTTATAGTTTAATCATATTTAATGACTTATTAACATATTAAAATTTCTTCTAAATATTTAGAAATATTCGTTTCGTTGTGTTATAAGCGTATGTGAATTCGGACTAAATGCTTGTGTATAAATTCTCTATTTATGATATCTTCCATTTTGCAGTTTGAGCACGTGAACTATAACATGAATTTAAATATAGATTGATATATACGCATTTATGATGTGTGTTTTTATTTAAAATCTACACATCGGATAAATATTCAATAAAAGGCTATTAAGTGATTTGCTAGATGGTGGGTAGTAGTGGAATGCAGAATGCGTGTTTCGTTCCATTTTGGACCCGTCATCTGGACGTACATGTCAACAGAGGTCGAATATTTCTATCCATTATAATCAGTCAACGGGAAGTACAAAATTAAAGTATGAAAGTGAGAAGGGAAACCCAATGCATAAGAAGTGACTCATATAACCTAGTGCATAACACTTTGAGCCCCAGCGTCAGTGGGAACACCATCACTGACTGGGTGAATTCATCTACATCCAGCCGACTCTTTACAGAGAGGAGAGAGTGCGTATCCTGGATTCGACTGCTTGTCACCATCCACCAAATTGCTCCAAGTTAATCCTCAAACACCGTCGAAGCATCCTAACAGTGAGTCAACATGTCAACAGACATCGAACATTTCGGCACAGTAATAAGCAATCTACGGGAAGCACAAAATTAACTTTGACAAAAAAAGATACATAATGAATTGTCAGTTGTGCTATGTTATTTCAGAAGTGCAGTTAAATGCAAAATATTTATTGTTATGTAGAATTCTTTTCCCAAGAGTTACACTTGAATGCACTATACTTGGTAACGCTGGCCGCCTGGCAAGAAGTAAGTGTATTTGTTTACCTTACGTCATAAAGTCAAATCTTTATAGCTGTATCCACTGATACACTACTGCAGTTTCCATAAAGTAAAAGAGAATGTAAAGGTTTATAAATGGGATGTGGAAAGTTAGAACATCTTGGTGTATTTTTTTGCTCCTTGATATACATACTGGATGGTGCCAAAAATGAAAAACAAGGGCTTTTCACCAATTCTAAGAAAAATATGGATAAATATGTTTAAGACACCTGAGACGAAGTCAAATATATGGCCAGCCTAATTCAGAATATACTGCTCTAATACTTTGATTGGACAGTAGTAACTAGAGTGATCTGTCTAGTCATTACTTTGGTGCAGAGTGAATTAAATCAGTCAGGTTTGTAATGTGGCCAACATTCTACGTGGCTCGCCACTACGGTGCACATCGATTTGATGATATTAGATGGGTGGAGGAAATCGGAAGGAAGCCTTGGACCTACGTTCCGTGCTAGTTGGCACTCATCAACAAGGCGCATCTGCAACCTCAAAGGAACTCATGTCCCTTCCGAAATCCAAGGTTGCAGATACGCCTTGCTGACTGGTGAGTACCAACCAGCACGAAACCTAGGCCCAAGGCTTCCAGCCGATCGCTTCCAACCATTTTATATCAACAACTCAAAGCACACTTCTCTGATATTAGTATAACTCCTTCTGTGATATGAGATTTCGTTTTTATGTTAAATGATATCATTGTGCAAAGTGTTGCCTGATATGAGGATCTATATTTAACATATCAACTGATTTTATCTTTTTCCATTGATGTATGTTAAGTAATGTGGGATCACTACTGATTGATTCTGTCTTTTTTAAATCACTCTGTATATTTTTACTGTTTTACTTTTGCAATGCATTAGTCAACATACTCGTTGTGTCTTCCCAATTGATGTGTGATCACCGCGGCCTTACAAGTTGTGAAATGTACTATCATGCAAATAATATAGTGGAAAATATAAAACTACTAAAGTGGTTTTCTTTAAGTCTAGTTAACTTTAGACTGAGACAGTATATCGAATAATCAGAGTTCACTAGGGGATGATAAGTGATGATTTGTTTAGTGCTGGAGATGGTTATTTACATACAATACAGTGTCGCATGGTGAAAGAACTTCTTGAAGTATCTCTAGTAAGCATTGTTTCTGTAAACTTTATTCACTCACCAGTAATATTTCAGAAGACTGGTGTTCTTTGCAGTGCATAAAGTCCATAAAATAACTAACACTGGACTGTGATAAATTATATGGGGTTTTGTGTATATTATAATATATGAAAACGAACAACGTTTAGAATAAAGTGCTTTGTTTATTGAAGTCGTTGGTAATGACTACTACAAGTACTACGATTATAACTTATGTTGACCTCACACATTTCTTAGATGCTTATACTTACGTCCTAATGACGTGAATGGCCACATAATTGGGCATAAACTGGAGGGCGAGAATTCTGTAGACAGCTATTTACTTTCATTAACTTAACGAAGTCGTGTATTTCAGCAAGTGTCAATTTTGTTATCAGCAATATGTCGCTGAAAAGTATTAACACAATCAGCCTTTTAAGTAGTCTACCCACTCCAGAAGTTCATTAGGAGAGACAATGCGTTTTCTGATTAATTTATTCTGCGATAGATGAAAAACGGATTTAATCTGAACCTCCACTATCATGAATCGAAAGTACTTCGTACCACACTAAGATTTTGTCATGTGTGCAAACATGCGTCTTCTTATAAATCCTAGTGCATAAATATTTTCCCAAGCATAACTGTCTACTGGTTCTCATTCTCTTCTAGCTTGTCTGTTTCAGCGAACTTAAGTGATATATTACCATGCAAATAGTATTAAGCTCTGTTCACCACAAAGCTTACTTGGGACAATATTCTTTTGACAATAGTAACCGAACTGATGCTTGGGACTAAGTACTGTAATGACTGACTCAGACATCCTGGTTCAATATGAATGTGATTACAAGAACTGCAAAATATTTTTATAAACTAATTTACTATACAACATGAAAGTATCATCATCGAATTCCACAAAGAACTTTCTTTAACTGTTTATTAATGCAAATTAGTGCCATATTATTAAGCCACGTACAGACAATGTATGTAAAGCAGTCATACTGAGATTCCAGCCAACATTTCTGGGATTTAGAAACGAAGTAATTCAAAACGAGGAGTCCTTCAGATTTCTCTCGCTGGTGGAGATTAGTACTTCTTGTTGTCGGTTTTCAGAAATCTCCATCACTTATGTGTTCTCTATGTTCACTTGAAGTCCCACCTTTTCTGCTTATTGTCATCATCATCATCTTCTTCTTCCATCCTGTTGCATTTCGTCTGTAAGTCTTCGAATTTGTGTGCCACACTGCATAGATAGAGAGACAGATATAAATCAGCCACAAAGTCCTCATCTTCCTATCAGTCGGTCAAACGTATTCCTGTCTTCTCGCTCCCCACACACTGTCTTCTGCATAACACACACAGTCCACCACAATTACCAAGAAATATAATATCGTCACCACCATCAGTGATAGTAGGCAGGCGGCCAGATAGCCAGCCAGTCAGCCTTGTCTTACTACCGTTTTCACTTCATAGGCTTAGCTGACCAGCTATTCGTTGTAGTGGAACACTTCACGTGTGGTACCCTCATGTATGTATGTACGTACAGACGTTGATTGAGGCTGATTAGGGTTTTGGACAATCCGAAGTGTTGAAGTAGTAATTTCTAAATTGCTTCACAGTCAATGGTGTCGAAGGTGTGTCCAATGTGGACCTTGACCCTGACCTTGTCGGCCTGTTCGAATTTTTGGGCCAGCTACTATAATATCTACATTTTGCATCCAGTCTACTGTTTACCAACATTTATTTATCACCTCAAAAATGTTTAGATGGACATTCGACTGCCATTTTACCCTTTCTTCGATGATGAGAATGGTGATCATGATCATGAGGATGATGATGATGCGTAGAGTTGCAATTTGATCAGCACATGATTTGCCCTTCCTGAATCTAGCTTGTTGAAGGCTGATGGAGTTCTGCATCCAGTGCATCTTTTGTTCTCTCTGGGGTGACGTTACTTAGTATTTTACTTGGCGTTGACAACAGCATGATACTGAGCCAGTTCTTGCACTGGTTTCAGTCGCTCCTTGGGCCTCTTTGGTAGTTTGACGTAGTAGCCCTTCTTCCAATCAATCAGTAGGTATCTTCCCTTTCATCCTTCCTTCCCTCCTTTCCAAAATTGTGTAACAGTGACGTGAGCATATCCGCTATGGTCTCTCTACTCGTTTCAGTGTTTCCGGAGGAAATCTGTCTGGTGCTGCTGCTGCTGCCTGCCCCACTGACCTTCAATCGCCACTTGATTGCATTCAAGAGTTCTGATTTCCTTGGAGGATTGCTGTCTACTGGCAGTTCTCTGAGTGCCGTTCTTCGTGGTACTTCTCTACGAGTTGAGGTTGATAATCGGTTAAGGAGTCGTTCCAAGTGATCCACCCATTGTTTTATTTTTCTCTCCACCTTGGTAAATATTAAGTTCCCTTGACCATCACTTATTGATCTCACCATTTAGGTTGATCTCTTCCCGGATGATGGATAGAGACCTGCTTATCTGATATACAGTGTTCTCAGGTTAATTTCTCGTGCGGCCTGCTTGTTGTGCGTCACTTACCTGCCAGCCAGTGTGTCGTCGAATTGTATCCTGTATTTCATACTACTCACCTTCACGCCTTTATTCACGCAGATGCACAGTTCATTGAAGTCAGCTTCTACATCTCTTCTTCTATCTTCTCGTGTCCATCTTGTTTCGCATTGCTTCATCATCATCATCATCATCTTCTTCTTCTGGTATTTCACCACCCTTCACCACATTTTGTATATTAGCTAGCTAGCTGGCTTCCAGGTGTCCGTCCATAGAGAGACTGCCAGCCGGCCATTCCTCGTCTCTCCTGTCTACTCTTTCTTCCTAGGACGGTTCCACACCTTCCCTCGAACATCACTTTCACTTCACACACTTCCAGTCTTCTTCCACACACGTCTCCTCCCTCATCATCCTAGGTAGTCTCTCCGAAGAATTTCTCTCATGGTTGCACTGAAGGTGTCTCTTGTAGTTTTGTCTTCCACCTTCACACTGTTCATCTTCAATTGTCGTCGTATGTTTCCAGTTCTCCCGAAGGCTTCCCGTTTGACATTGAAGTAGATAACGGCCTGAGCTGAGCACGCATCTACAGCCCTAATCGAACTTGTGTCCAGCATCTAGCTGCGTTTCCATTTCCTTCAGCAGCAGTCAGATGAAACCCATGTTTCCTTGTGCATATGCATATACTTGTGCTTGTACTCGCTAACTCCAATCACCAAATCATTAGAGGAGTAGTAGTCTGCAAAGATTTCACTGTTGTCATCCATTGTAACGAACACGTCTTGACTCTTATGAGTTTACCTCCTATGTTATCTCCTCCTAGTTTGGTAATCAGATCGTCTATTAGGATTCTGTTATCGTGATTCTGAGGCGTGTAGATTACTGTCTAAATTTGCTAGTAAATTTCTTCTTTCTTCTCTTGATCTGCGTTGTTTTTAGGTGCGTATCATTGAGATTTCTTTCTTCCTTCCTGTTGAGTTGAATCTTGATGTCATTTTCCTGGAGGGGATATGTTCCTACAGAATTCGAGCTTTGGTTTCTGTTAGTGACATGATGATAGCTATTTACTGCCTCCTCCTCTTTTTCGTATTGATTTGGGGGCTGAGCTAAACTTTAAGCACCAGAAATATCAAAGGAGTGAGACTGCACCATTGACCTTGGAACACTCAATCAGCTTGTTAGTGAATGCAGGCAAACAGCATTATAATGATGAATGAAACATTCTTAGTGAAGTATTTTGGAATTAAACGTGACATAAAGTAAGTTTTCACTAGGTCTAGGAGAGATTAAGTTTTAGGCTAAACGCAGGTTATGTTCAGTTGAACCTGATAAGGGTGGGTTCCAGTTGGATTAGCGTTAGAAGACCTAAACGAATATATGTACAGGATATAGTATAATTACTTTATTGACAATCTTATCCGGAAATGAGAGGCATTTTTGATACTCAAGGTATCCTGTTTAACTGCTGCATGTGTTTTTATGCATTATTTTCATAAATACGTAATTTACGGTGAAATTCGCCTTTTCACGTGGTTGGCGAGTTTAAGGTCATTTGTCCACTTCTTCACCCTGGAAGTAATCAGGATGTCTTAGTACTCTCTCTCTTTTTCCTTTGTTATCTTCTTATTGTTCATGAGTCCGGCTTCAGACATTCTGCTTATACAACTCTTTTAAAAATTGTTATTATTGGTTTATTATTGTAGAAGTTATGACTCTAAGTTGCCTTTTTTCTATAGACATCCACTAGACATTTTGAAGATTTCGCTTCTTTCGTGGGCTTCAAGGAAAAATGGCATAAACTATATATTTAGAGCCAATAATGTTTGACTCCTTTGCCTGAATTCGATACTTATGTGCGTGTGTCATATTTATTCCTGAAGTGATTACAGTTGGCATTGGCTATTGCAGCTTTTGAATTACCGTATTCTTGACCAGTTTCAGTTGGATTACTGTAAGCTAGTTGAAAACTGAATTCAAAACCTCCAAACTACTTCTTTTGCTCTGAAGTGCTAATGACTTTGAGGTGGAACTCGTCACTGTTAAATAGACAGCAGTAAATACGATATTTTTATTAAGGGTATATTTTATACTACTTGTAAGTAGGTAGTATTTAAAGTAAAATTTACACCAATGTTCTAAACCGGAAATAAATTGACTAGTCATGCAGTCAATACAGTTTTAGACCAAAAAGTAAGTGAGCAAGTAGAATCCAGTTGTGTCTTACCCAATATATCCAGTTGATGCTTTTCATCTCATTTATTATGTATGTTACGAACTTCCAGGACATCAGTAATACCCGTAGTCTGCAGAGATACCATTATCAGTAATAGTCATTGGCTCTTTGGAGCATCTCTACGCCTCACCTTCTCCACAAATGATTTCACTCAACAAAACGTCGAAGGCAATATCGCGTTGCTGACAACTTCAGTTTGTATTTGCCAACTCATCTGCTCCGGTGGAGCTTAGTACACGACAGCAGGACACTCTAAAGGCGCCCATGAATATTCAGCAGCATGGTTGTCAAAAGATGAACTTAGAAATGTAAACATCTCAACTGTGGAACATGTTATTGCTTCTGATCATGAAGCATTAACAGAGACTTCTTTTAGAGTCAAATATAAATGGCGACCAAGTTGTTCAAAAGTATTCCGCCTACACCTTCTACAGTCAGTTGAAGCCTTAGAGATCTTTAAGAAGAAAACTGAACACTATTTTCGGAAATGTTTTACCCAGCAATTTTACTACCATAGAAGTAGTGATATTTTATTCACTTTTCATTCCTTCTTTGTGTTAATGAGCAGCTGTAAAAAAATCTATGTAGACTGTTTCACGGTTTCAGGAAACACTTTCAAACATTTCTTTCCTTCTCTTTTACTAACAAATTCCAAATGATTAATAGTTATTCATGAAAAATTCCGATTGTAACACATAGAAAATCAAAACAAGTGATTCAGCGAAGAGACTCTTTCCAACGAATTTATCATCAAGCTGTACAGTCGTATATATATGGTTTTTAATAAGTTATATCCGGTGAGGGAATTGAATCTTAGGTGTAAATGCATAAAATAATAATAATAATATGAAGTTCAATTAAAACTAAAATGTTTGTGATTATAATCGTAGTTAAATGCCAAGTGGCAAAGCAAATTAATGTCATATATAGAATAATTCATCGGATGGATAGAAATTGAAAGAGAGTGTGCAATTATATGATTAGTAGACAAATCGAGTAAAACAAAAATGTTACGTAATATTGTGTGAAATTTGATAGCATCGAATTTAACGTTGTAAAAAAGAATTGATTTAGAATGACAAGTGGAACAAGTGAAATAATACCGGGGACAGTTCAAAGTGAGAATAGTAATAATAACAATTGACTTAATAAGGAAGAGTATACAGATAGAATAGACAAAATGAAAAAATGGTAGAGCTAAAATATGATTGGGGATTACCATACTTTAGCATAGAGGGATTAAGACCATGAAAGTTGGAGGGGTTGAACGAACTTTTCCTGTACACAGAGATCTGGCTTTATGTTTCAATAGCCAAAGCTTCAGTAATACAGAAGAGTCGGGTACGTAGGGATTCGGGTAAATTACTTGTAGATGACTTTAAAGGCGGAGGCTATAGAGATAGGGTGATCATTATCGACCAGATGTTCAAAGATCGCGCTCCTTATTGCTCCACTTCCACCTTTTCGTAGCCATGCAGGATAGTGTTCTTGCACCCTCTTGGACAAAACTCGAGTCGAACGACCGATATATCTAGCTCCACAAGAGCAGGTGAATTGATAATCACACATAGAGTTGGTCAACAGTGGGATATTGTCCTTCAGGTTATTGAACAATAATGGTCGGCTAGTAAAGGGTATCCTCAGAGATGCAGCAGGGAATGTTCTTTTCAGGGACAGTGATATCCTTCGTTTCATGATATCGGAAGCTAAGTCCCCTTTGAATTCCAAGCTCTATCCATCCTATGAATTATTCTATATATGACATTAATTTGCTTTGCCACTTGGCATTTAACTACGATTATAATCACAAACATTTTAGTTTTAATTGAACTTCATATTATTATTATTATTTTATGCATTTACACCTAAGATTCAATTCCCTCACCGGATATAACTTATTAAAAACCATATATATACGACTGTACAGCTTGATGATAAATACGTTGGAAAGAGTCTCTTCGCTGAATCACTTGTTTTGATTTTTTAATAGTTATTCGACCAATATCAATTCGAATACAGCAAGAACAACAGTTTTTGTAGAGTAATATGTTACCATCATTTACTTCGTTGACTTCTCATCACCTGCTTACAGCCTAAATAAACTATTCAATTTATGTACAGAAAAGTCTTAACATACTTGCAAATTTTACATGATGTCAGTTGACAGGAGGTTTTCGAGTTAGTGAACACTGCTCAGAAAATTATGCCTGTATAGTTTTTACATAAGGAGTTCAAGTTTAAACAAGGTAAATGTTGCATACATTTACAATGCTAAAGGAGTTACACAGTAAAGACGCGAGATGCGTTGGATGATTTTTTTACTCCTTTACGTTCCCAGTGGAACATATGGCTTCAAGCTAGAGCTTGAAGTTTCTGTAGCAGTGATGATTATTTTTACAGGATGGGGTTGCTAGCCGCATGCCCAAACTTCCCTCTTTACCAGTTTTATTACTGGCTTAGATAGATAAAGGAATGCGTTAGACGGGGATTGAAACTCGGACCACATGCGTGGTCGGTAAGCATTTTACCGCTGTGTCACCGATGCACTATTTCAGGAGTATCACATTCTAAATGATGAAATTTCTCCTCACTATATATGGGTTGTAATACTAGTTCTAAGAAATAAGGTGATCAGGCTACTATAATATGTCGTGAAGTAATGCATGCAACATTTACCTTGTTTAAACTTGAACTCCTTATGTAAAAACTATACAGG